TGGTATTTTTTTAGGGTTTTAATTATTCATATTTTATTTGAAATATTAACTGCTTGGACCACTCTAGAAACAAGTGGATTATAAATGCAAATAAAAAAATGAACTTCACAATAATCTGAACAATTAAGGGACTAGATACGTTTAGTCTAAGAAAGAGAAGGCTTATAGTGACATCATAGTCATCTTCCATTACTTGAAGAGGCGATCAATTATTTTCCAAAGGGCAGGACAAGAATCAATGGGTAGAAGCTTGTCAGAGGAAGATCCAATCTGGAATTTAGGAGAAATTTCCTGATAGTGAGAACAATTAATCAATGGAACAGTTTGCCTCCTGAAGGTGGGAGTGCTCCATTGCTGGAGGTTTACAAGAAAAGATTGGGCAACTATTTGTTCAGAATGGAATAAGGACCACCAAGGTCCCTTCTAGCCCAATGATTCTATGATTCTTCTATTCAATTACTTAGCTGAGTCTCTACTAATGCTTTACTGTGATCCAATAAAAAAAAGTTGTTTATCCCAGTTTTTCTCTTGTAAAGTTTCTAGAGTAGAGGAAGGCCCTCCTTATTCCTGAAATCATTGAATATTTGTATAAAATTAATTGGGAGTAATGTGGAGAATTACTCACTAAGATGGAAGACTTTTTCGGCTCACTGCTTTCTACGAAATATTTACTTCTGATAATCCTCACTCTAAGAAAAGACCTGGAAGGATCCTACGGTAAAAGTATACATTATACACAAAGTATACGTGCACCCCACCCTCCAAAATGTTCTTCTCCTTTAGACACTGCATTGCTTTTCTCCCCTATCCCGCTTTTCTAAACAAAAATATCCACATGGCAGTAGAATTTGCAGAGGGCTATTTTCGGAAAGCAGATACAACCTTTTTCCATCTTACCTGTATTTCAGCTCTGATGTGATGCCTTCCTTCTGGCTTGCTCAGGGATCTCACCTCTCCATGATATCTCGTTACTGGGTTGCTGGTACTTGCTTTATCTAAAGCTGGTTTTGAGTCTGCCTGGCATCTTTTGTTCTCTTCCTGCAGATTTCAGCTCTAGCTGGGACAGTGGCATGGAGAGAAAGAGGGTGGGCTTTTCCTTTAGCTCAGCCTGGAAATATTCAACTGTTAAAGTGACAGGGCTGTTACTCTGGCCTGCCTAGTGGTCTTCCCAGCAAGCAAACAGCAATGCCCCATCCCCTCAGATACTTTTTCATGCCTTAGGGGCAGCAGGCCGGGATGATGTCTATTCAGATTTAACTTCAATTTTAAAAACAAATTCTGCCCTGTCTGTTAACAAAACTAAATGTTATAGGAATCTCCAATAAAAGAGAATAGATTAGAATATTTTTTAAAAAAAATATTGTTAAAAATACATCATTAACCCTCCTCATTCTTCCTTGTTATTTCTTATTCTGAAGCTCCTGCCCTCTTACATTTAGAAGGGACCTGGAAATGTCTCCCAAGAGGAGGGCCAGGGATTTCTCCTTTCCCAGAATTGGACTCTTTTTCTTTCCCATTTTGGCTCTGTAGAAAAAATCTTTGTAGGAAAGATGCCAAGAACTAAACTACATAAGACCTTCAAACCAGACAGATGTACCTCTGGGCTGCTGCCAATATGCATCCTTCTCATGACTGGAGAAATAGAGGGGATTATTAAAGATCATATTCTAGTCCATATCATTGCCAACTTCTCCTGTGGAATTCTGTTTGGGGTGCTCTTCTCCTTTCCACCTGTGGAACAGACCTGTTGCCTTCCATCAACAGAGCCACACCAGGTTTCACTTTGTTTTCCCCCCTAATCGCTCTGCCTGAATCCAAGAAACAGAGAGAGATCAGGGAAAACTCTGAGACCCAGATGTATGGCTGTCTGCAGGATGAGCGGCTGATGTCTTGGCTTCTAGACTCTGCAGCTATGACATCAGGCCCTCAACAAGAGTTTATAGGCTGAGCATCATTAACAAGTGTGCTTCCCTTTGTTATTGCTAATTTGTTATTGCTAATAAGGCATTATTGGGGGCCAGTATGGGAATGTTGGTTGCCACTAGCTATCAATAATATTTTGGAAACGTATGAGAACAGATTAATCTTTGACCCGATTTCATTGATTGGATTCACTACTAAACCAGTTCATCCTGGAGTTATTAATATTCTTTATAGCTTTGAGGGCTTTCTTCCAATATTTGAAGCCAAAATTGGTGTGATAATGGACATTGCCTTATTTGTTATGTTTTTTTAATCTGTTTATACTGTTAGAAGCAGGACCAGTGTAGAACATTAATGAAGTTATCATCTGGCTTCAGAAATATGTCTTAAATTTTGCAAAAACAGAAAAACCATTTGTACATTAATAGTGTATGTTTTGTAATTGCAATGCTAAACCTCTGAAAATAATTTGTGAAGATGTTCAAGTTTAAAAGGTATTAGCTCTACCAACTTTCAGGACTTTAGATTCAACCAAAAAAAGTTTTCAAGGCCAAGATAGGTATCATTGAGACTGGATAAAATGGGTGCAAAAATGTACTTTATGTTAGGTCAGTTTTTGGATTTAATTATTAGCTTTCACTACTCATAGAATTAAGGTGGATTCATTTTCTACTTGGCCAAGAATTTATGGTTGAATTTGAATCACAAATCGTGGCAATTCAATACTTAACCATGATTTATCAAATCAAAAAACAATTGACTAACACACTAAAGTTAAGCCAGAAAGTGAAAATACATAGCTTTGTGTATTGATCAATCTTTCCATCGCACACGATTATTATAAAAGCAAGAGTAGACTATACTTATTATAAAGAATAATCAAAAATTGTTTTCCAACAGTATATCCACAACTCTGACAAAGCTCTTGTTAGACAAAGGAATTGGACTTCTGGTTCCTCTATAAGGTGCATTCAATGCCGCTGAGATTTTTCTTAGTGATTTGAGAGCCTTTAAATAGTACAGTCCAGGAGATTGGAGTGTTGGTTGAAACTCTGCAGTCATCCCTTTCCACCCCCACCCCGCTCCCCACCCCCCAGTGGAAACTCTGACAGTTCTTTGGACACTTGACTGCTTTCCAATAAACACTTTGGTCTAACTGATAGGGGGCCCTGGAATGTCATTTGGATGATCCACGCTGGGTGGAGAGGAAGGGGCCACACCAAAGGTCTAGGCCAGATAACATCATGCTCAGAATCTGTGTTTTTTCAAAAGTGAAAGATTCATCTGTGGAAGAGAAAGCAAAATACAGTTTGGGGGTTGGTCCTAAAGAGGCTTTCTGAATAACTTTTTGCAGGTAGTATATTATTTTTTCAAGGCTGAGTTGTTATCACTTGCTCGTACTGCTGCCATGTGACAAAATTATGTATCTCCAGAGCTGCCTGTTATGTACCTGCACGAGTCTTTCCTCTAGATTTCCTGCCTTCCAGTCTGATGCTTATTTATGTGCTCAAATTCAAAGAGGGTTGGGGGATGAACAAGACATTTCTTAATAGACAAATCTTTCATTATTTCAGCATTTTACATTTTAGTTGACTGTAAATACTCTCAGGATTTTAGTTTGATAACATTTCCTTTTTAAGTCTCTAAAGTCTACCTAAAGTTGACTCTTTGCTTTTTTATAAAACAATGTAAATTAACATAAAAACCAAGCGATATTATCTTTTCTATGATTTGGCAATGCAATCTGGCATTTTATAAAGATAGGTAACTGCGTCTTGGCTCTCTCTGAGCAATTTCCACTCCCGCCCTGTACTTGTGCTTCTGGCAAACAGGCATTGAAACAAATTCCTTTTGAAAGGGCCCTTGAATGGCATTTCACATTATTTCTTCCCCCGTACTGTCCAGAAGTGGAGAAAGAAAGACAGATTTTATTCATAGGGTTTTGAAGTTACAATAGGATTTGGGCTACTGTGCCCCATTATTAAGATTTTCTGCTTGGACAACAAAGGAAAATGACTGATGACTTGAAATCATTAAAAGTAGCTAAGAATTTATTTTCAGTAAACTCCACACATTCAAAATGTGATGTCCTGAACTGGAATATACTATATTATCGTAATGAAGGGACAGCTTTCCTTCTGTGAATAAAGGCAATGCATGCATTAGAATAGGCTTGACTAGGGAAGAGGAGCTTTGGAGAATAAGGAGCACAAGTGCAGCACTTAACTACAATTTATGAAGTAACTGCTTTTCTGTGATTAACTGATAAACTCAGAAATTGCTGGAAATGATTTAGTATCTAATTAGAGGAAGAGTGCATTTTATAAAACATTTTACCCTTGAAATGAAGAAAATATCTAAACAAGGCATAAGTATTCAATTCATGATGCAGTTAGAGAACATTAACAGTGCCAAGTGCTTTTTTGTGGAAAGGAATTCAGTAAGTATCTTACTCCAGGGGCTTCATTTTCCAGATTCCTGGCTGTTAAGATGCCAGGCTCTCAAAAACCCTTACTGATTGGATCAGAGGACAAGACAATCTGTCCTACATTTCCACGAAGTAGCCACATAATCACAAAAAGGCAATTTACTGTCATGAATTGCCGTTAAGTAATTAAATAATTTCCTTCCCACCCTTTCCAATTGTGCCTGATATTCAGAGACTCCCTGACCAACTACCTATGTTTTTATTGGCAAGGTTACCATTGCCCCCTTCCTAGGGCTGAAAGTGACTGACCCCAAGTCAACCGCTGGCTTTGTGCCCAAGCTAGGACTAGAAATCAGGGTCCTTGATTTCTAGATTTATTGTCTTAATGTTGCATCAAGGTGACCCTCACTATCCTGCTTTATAGTCATTTAAATGATAATTACTCTAAGTCATAAATGCTGCCTAGCATTTCAGTTTTCAAACTGCATGCAAGGAACATTAGAATGGCAATCTGGATGGAACAATCCACAGAGAGCTTTGATATCAGATGTTCTAATATCTGCATGCTGCTGTTGAGTCCAGAGAATAAAGCATATATATTTTATTATTGAAAGAAAGACAGGAAAAAAATGCAAAAAACCCTACCACTTTTATTACTTATTACTTTAGGTCTTATCAAAAACGAAGCGAAGAAAAATATTTACAGCATTAGAAAAAAGCCACAATAACATTTTATGCCATCAGATAGCCCATAGAAAATATCTGGAATCAATTCTCTGTTTACCAAGGAACTAATTTTAACTAGTGCAAAGAAATGCAAATATATTTTGTTGTTAGATTACAACTATTCGTCATCCGACTGCTCCAGATATTGAACTAGCTTCTTAGTGCGAAGTGATCTTCCACGGATCTTGGGTGGACTAGAAAACAGCCCATCGGAGTTTAGTTGAACGATAAATGTTTCATCCATATTCTTGGATTCCTACAATATAAGAATGAAGAACGATAAACTCTCAGGACAGCTCCATACACAGCACTTCTATCTTCTACATAAGGCAGTGGCCCCTAACCTTTTTTGTGCCACGGCCCGGTACCGGCATCAGCAGGCATGACAAGGCATTTCCTCTCCCCCACACCTCCCCTCCAGGTCTTCCCCAGCGACTTCCCCTCCCTGCATAGAAGCGTCAGCTGGTGCTTTCAGGCTCTTCCCCCCCCCCCCCCCCGCATGAGATTCTCCGAGCTAAAGGCAGCAGGGCTCCTCCGGGCTGATCGCATAGGCACCTGACAGCTGGGGGGGAGGGGGGAGAAGAGACCTGGGCGTAACATGGGTCCACTTTCCTCTCCACAGAGAACTTTTTTGCATCTGGGGCGGGTAGTTCGGCGAGAGGCGGCGGCTCTATAACCCCAAAGGCAGCTCTAGCCCGGCATCAACGTGTGCGCATGCCCACACACAGAACACCCAAACACCCACTCACTATCCCCACAGCGTGAGAATAACAGGAATAGTGTTCTTCCTCCCCTCTCCACCCGCCACTAGCCTTGCGGTTGCGACTTGTGTCCCCGCTCCTTGGCTCGGTTTTTCCTGCGACTCCCGCCTCACACTTTTGAAAGAGTGAGAGCAGCCTGAGGAGTCGTTGAAGCGCGCTCCGTTGTGGGGGTGGGGGGAGAGAGAAAGGCGTATTATTACATGAGCCTTTTAAACTTGGGTGAATGGGCTTCCCGGGCAAAAACCATTTATTTACATCTGGGTGGCCAGGAATCGTTTGCAAAACCGCTTCGCCTTCACCAGTCCTCTTTGCAAAACGCTGCCGCGGCTCTTCCTTTTTGCTTTTTCCTTCATGAGGCAACGCGGGACTGGAGCCGCGCCGGGCAGTAGCAACTCCTGACTCAGGGGGCCTCCGAGGGGAGGGGAAGGAGAAGAAAGGGGGGCGGGCGGGGCTGATTCCCCCCCCAAAATCAGAATTCCGAAGAATATGATGTCTGTCAAAACAAGATGGCGGCGCCCAGCAAACTGGCGGCCCGGTAGAAAATGATCCATGGACTGGTACCGGTCCGCAGCCTGGTGGTTGGGGACCCCCCGACATAAGGGATGCCACAATAATAATTATAATATTCCAGGAAAAGAAATGGGGTGATAGTATTCAGGTTAAGAGGGCTTAAAAGAAATAACGATGCCAATTGACTCAACACTCCATATCTTGCTGCTCATTACAGAGTTTGTGCTTTCTTGAGCACCAGGAGACAAAAACCCACTGTGATACATCATTTGCTTACCAAACAGCAAAAAAGGAAGTCAGCAGTTTTGGGGGAAAGCTATTTTTCAAAGAATTTCAGAGCTCAAATAATTCTGCTCTAATTTGGTGGGAGCATCTCCTCTCACTATCATAGTTGTTGTGATGGGCAGATAGGACAAATTGGAGCTTTATGTCAGGATTAAAAAGCTCCCAAGTAGTCTTTGGCTCTTTGTCCTTGCTTTAGAAAAGCCTTAAGGGGAGGAAAAGATTTCTAGTTTATGCAATAAGCATCTGAACAAGAAAAAGATGAATAGCATATTGTGACATTACTTTTCACAAATGACAAGTTAGGTGTGTCACAGCATAGAAAGCTCCTACTCAATACAAGAAACCCAGGCAAGTTATTTTCTTCAATTAATGCTAATTTTTTAACTTAATTACCTGAAAAATATTTATCCTAAACATGCAAAATAACGTTTGTGGTCTAACAAAGTACGCTTAACCTAGGACATCTTTTAAATATACTTTAAAAGATCAGAGATAGTGATGAATATATGAGCAAGCAAACCTTAAGTGCTATTCTTTTTTTAAGGCTTTGGACAAAGTCAGAATCAGAATCTTCACTACTGAAAGATGAAATCCTTCTTTTAGCAGCTTGCTTTATTTTGGTAAGCTTTTGGGTGTTGTCATCTGAACTGGAACCTGAACTCTTAGGCTTGATGTGTTTTGTTTTTGCCTTTTTCTTAGTGAAAGGTTCCTGAACAGAAGGCTGATTGCCTAAAGGAAGAGAAAGAAATCTTTGTCAGCACCACATTTTTAGATCCTTTCTACCAAGAAATACGGATAACAGCTTTGGAAATGCCTGTTTCTAATCAAGGAAGATAACGAAGGTGTACTTCCCAGTTGTTCTACTAGATAGGAATAAAAAAAAACCCAATTCCTGTTTAAGAAAGTATAGTAGAGGATAATTGTTGCAGGTCCCAATTGTTGCAGGTCCCAACTCTGCATATTCCAGTTGGGGGTATCTTCATTGATTTACATGAAGCACTTAACTATATATCTTCCCCAAGAAAAAAAAACAGGAGTGCAAGTTCCTCCATGGAAATTGGAGTATGGCTTCTGACAAAATGAGGACAGGACCAGGGCCTTTCCTTCCATGTATAAACTGTGCAGCCTGTTCCTCTCTTGAATCTAAAAGACCTGATGAGATGTGCTATTTGCCTTGTACGCCCTTATAAGGCTTATTGCAGTCTTTGTTAATGCACATACTCTTCTATCAGCAGCTTGGGGTGAATATAATCATATTACATATAAAATTATAATACAGGGAACATATCCCACAAATTTATTTTACACACATTTAACTAATATTTAATTTAACAATAGGAAAGAATTACTGGGGAATTCTCTCCACTGGCAGCCAAGAATACTTATTCAAGGATGTTACTAGCATTTGATCTGAATATCTCCATGGTGCTGCTCTCATACAAATTAAAATTTTGCACATTATTCCCCTTCTATTAGCAAAGTATGTACAAAAAAAAGAGACTCCTCTGCAAACCTCTGTCTCAAGAGTAAAGGCCTAATCGAAAGAGAAAACTCTCTGGTGAATTTATCAACAAGAGATTGTTTCTTGACCATCAAACTGATATAGAGGAGCAGGTAGGATGTATATACAAATGACAAACCAAGAGAGTGACCTGGAAAATGAATTTTTAGATGTATAAGAGACTTATTAAACCCTTGAAGAAGTCTGTATCACGGAATAAAAACTAATTATAGAGAAATTAAATCATACAGTATTTGTATGGCAAGAAAGATTATAAAATGGGGTGAAACTCATTTAATCAATTTTTGGCTTAGCAACATAAATTTTGGGCTAAATTGTGGTCGTACGTTGAGGACTGGCTATATATTCTTAAGCAATAGGAAATATAGAGAATGAGGGAAATGTTTTGTTCCAATCACAGCATAAACAATTGCATTGTGAAACTTTTGCTGAACTGTTTAAGCCATCCATAGTTTGAAATTATAAAAACAAAATCTGGACAGGATAAGTAAATCAAAGCTGATGTACCTAGTCTTCACTCTCCATTCCACTTTCCAAATCAATTTATTCCATTGGTGAGCTGGGACACCCCCTTTATCTATTTAGTTGCTGTTGCCTTTAGCTTTCTCCCATTCTCTCTCTTTCCGCCCCACTTTTATCTGGGCCACAAATAGCTGTTTGTGCATGGATCAAAACAGCTGTGCTTTAATTCAAGCATAGGACGCCTAGAAACCTTGTACAGTTTAATTTCTGCATGCACCATTTTGTATAACCTTACTAGGAACTGTGGATTAGAATGATTTTAAAAAATAAATAATCTTCTTTCCCAAAGGTTCCACTTCATGTTTGAGGTTATTCATAGCAAAAATGCTTTAGAACAGGGTTGTCGAATTTGATTTCATCGAGAGCTGCATTGACCTGGTGTGGGGAGTCAGATCAACACCACTCGTATCAGGGGCCTGTGTGCCTGATTGCTCTGCCAGCAAAAACGGGCGCCTGAGCTCCATTTTGGGCTGTGATGGCCTCCTGCAACCCTCTGCCAGTGAAAATAGAGTCGGGAGGGCTGCACACAGCCCTATTTTTGCAGGATGAGATCTAAGCATCTCGAGTTAAGATTCTGCATGCAACGAGCTAATCTTAAGTTCTTTGAAAATGTACCTGACACTTGGTGGTGTTGCGCATAAGATTCTAGCTCAGAGTCATTAGAGCCATTTCCATCTTCTGAGTCAGACCAAGGATTTACTGTCATTGCTTTTTTTATTGGCTTGAACAACAGTTTTGACTGTGTCTTGACACCTGAAATTTAGCAGACTTGTTGGCCACAGAAAACATAAACTCGCAGGAAAATTTGATTCCTGCTAAAAAAAATTTTTTTACCTGAGTCCATTTTCAGTTTCTTCATCAATCTTTGTTTAAGATTTATCGGTTCCTTGCTGGTCCCTGGGAGATCTTGATTCTCGTCAAGCTCAATTTTTTCAGTCTATAGATCAGCAAATGTGAAAGAGAGTTTATCATTACTGGGGACAGGTAAAAGAAAGTTATGAAACTAGTGAAGAAAACTGAATACATATACCCCTCCAAAGACTGTTTACCTTGATTTTTCTTTTTAATTTCTTCTCTGCCTCCAATTTCATCTCATTGGTTATTCGGGGGATAACTCTCCTCCCTTGGGGAGAAGGGAGGATTTCCTGGAGCTGAAGGGTTTTTGCTTTTGCTTTCCCTCCTTTCCCTTTGCTGGGCTTGCCTGGGATTCCTAACATCTCATCCTGTTTTTCTTTTGCTTCTAACACCTAAAGTGTGCATAATAAAAACAAAAACTAATAGTTTGTAATGTTTGGATTTGCAAGTGTGAAATTTCACCAAAAGAAAATCATCTTATTTGAGGGTTGGGGTATTTCTGCTTTAGCATCAATCTGCACTTCTACACAAATGGAAGAGAAGAATTCTATATTCAAATCTGAAATAGGTAGCAATCTTTGCATGCATTAAGAGAGCTCACGTCACTGGAATTTCAGGGCTATGCGTACATCTGAGCTTTGGTCGCTCTGTATGTTTGCTTTAAAACATACCAATAGTCACAACGTTTCAGTCCCTCTTTTTAAATGCCAGCACCTTACCCAAATGAAGACACAGAACTATTGATAAGCAATGTTTCACTTAAAGTGGAAGTTGACTGTATCTGGCCCCCAAATCCAAGTTTACTCACATCAAGTTCCCGAATGAAAGCAGCCATATCTTCTCGCCACAAGTCAGTAGGATCCTTCTGTTTCAGGTTTTCTAACTCTGTTTCCTAATAAAGCCAGCAAGAAACAGTTACGTCCATATTTGACCTTTCAATACTAGTGTACAAGTATTTTTTTTTTAAAAAAAAAGCTCATCCACCTACTTTATTATCCCGCTGCTTACACAATTCATCCTTTTTTTCTTTTGTTAGGTACCAGAGGGGCATGTTCAGAAGGTAGTTAAAATCTGGCCCACTGGCTGCTGCAGTCGATTCATTTTCTTTATCAGTATCTTCTTCTGCATTTTCATCAATGTCCTGACATGGCAGAAGAGAGATGTGACCAGGGTTAATAGCATAATATAGTAATAGTACTTAGTACTTGTCCTTTCAAGGGGATCAGGAGATAACCCATTCCTTTCTCTCAGTACTTTCCTTTAGAGCACCTACAGTATCTGCTTCAGAAAGCCAGTGTTTGGCATGAAGATCTATTTTCCACTATAATAATATGGAATTTTAAAGAGATTTTTTCTAAATTATTGACCCAAACCCTTAACAATTGAGTAATTAAAAAGAAGAGACTGAAAACCATACCTTCTGTTGAGATTCTTTCCATGACTTTACTGGATCAGAATCATAACCCCTTTCAATGAGAACCTGTATTAATTCTTTCTTGGGCTTGTTCTCTAGAGAGGAAGACCACCAAGAACAGATGAGCCAGCAGCCAAAATAAAGTGTCATATTTAGCACCAAGCTAAGAACATGTCAACTTGCTATGCCACAAACACAAAAGCCACACCAAAATTTTGGAATTACTCTTAATGGAAAGCAGAAAAATAAATACTCATATGTTTAGCACTTCAAGTTGTACATTCAGTTTAAATTTTATTGTGTAGATTATTTAAATTTTTATTTCTAGAAAAGTAAGCTTAGAGGAAAGATGCCTGTCAGGGGAGATAATTCTTTGTTAGATGTTGGCTTTTATTCTCTCCATTCTAACCCAGAAAGGGAAGCTAGGAACTATTTCTGTAATACTTGTTCTACTTTTAATGGCTTGTAACAAAATCCTAACAGTGCTTACCTATCACTATTTTCCCTTCTATTTTTTCAAGGATGAAGCGAGCTTGGTTGTTTAGTTTTGCAGATTCTGCACCCAGCATGCCAGCGAGCCACTCTTTTCTTAAACCATAATAACGCAGTCTGACTTGATAGAATTCGTCTAGAATATCCTCTGCAGTCTCATATTTTTTAAGGCAGCCTGCATGGTCAAAAAGTACCTGAAACAAAGGGTAAGGTACCACAGATCTATAGATAGCAGGGCTGTGATCATGCATTTAAAAGCTGGATACAATTCCTTTAATGATTCCATGCAGAACATTACATTACATGGTCCAATCCTACTCACCTCCATTTCTCACTATGGTATTTTGATACTTTAAAGGAATTGTACATGCCTGGTTTCTAAAACAGGCCCTTACAATCAAGAGGCAAGAGCAAAAAAGCTTTCAGAATTTGGAAAAAAAGTAGCTCTTCCTAATGTAGCAGAAATCACATAAATAGCTAAAAAAAGTAATAAGACAGGCCTGGTTAAATCTATTAGCAAAACTGATTTTCTATTTCTCTAGTCTTAACTGAGAATTTGGACTCTGAAGATTTCAGTTAAAAACTGAAGATTTTTGTAGAAACCTTGCCACAAAAGGATTCTATTCTGAGACTCTGAGTCTTAGCTGAATGAATGGAAATGGCTCCCAGAAAGCATTATCCCTTGTTCTATAATTTAGATTTATGAGTGAACAACAGTTTAGTCAAATAAGTGATTAATAATTGATAAGAATGTACACATATATATTAGACTGATAATGTGAGAATTTATACGAATGATAAGTGATGACTATGGAAAGGAAGCACAAAAGATTTGTAACCAACCGACATACTATATGCATGTAATTTGATGGTTTTATGTTTTGTTTTGGTAAGTCTGTCCTAAAAAAATAAAAGTTGTTTGGAAAAAAAAGAATTTATTTGTTTAAAAGATGTATATGGTCTGTATATGTGTGATTGTGCATGTAAGAGAGACAGACAGACAGATTCTCTAGGTATGCCTATCTTGCTACGAAAATGGAAGTCTTCTGAATTTTTACTTACCATATTGCTACAAGAAAGAGGACTTTGTAATTTGAAGACTTTATGTAGACCAATAGCCTCTGCCTCCACTAGTTTCTGTTCACTCATTGTTATGATGAATTTGACAGTGGTGTCCGTGTGGTACTCTTTATAGTCTGTTATGAGTGATGGAGTCTTCTCTGTGCCAGTCAGCATAGGCTCCAGAACCTGTTCTTTGTAAGTCTTTTGATAGATGGGAAGAAACAACATAAAATGATTTTATATTTTCCTTTGATTGGGGAGTTCAGAAACATATTTGCTATTAAGGCTCAGAGAGCATAGTACAAAAACAGAACATGCCTTACCTGTGTCCATGTCCGAACAGGAAGCTCTGAAATTTCAATGGTGGTTGAATTAAGAACAGATATCTCTCCATTGATAATGAAATGATTTTGTCCTAGTTCATCTATTGTCCCCTTGAAATACTTGTAACTAGGAATCTAAAAATATTAGAAGCTGTATTAAAATAAACCACCCTGAACATGTGTTTTGTTTGCATAATATAATCAGAATCCAAATGGATTAAGATAATTTCAACGAAGGTTCTGAAAATAGGAGTAAGAGGTTGTAGAGAAAAGGTCATAAATGGTTTTATGAAAAGCAGTACAAAAATCTCCAGTATAGAGATAATATTTATTGACTTCATATTGTTTTCTTTTAAAGAAAGTGTCATTTTAAATGCTATAGGCAATTTTTAAAAGAATTTAAATGGTATGCTTCCAAAGTCCAACTCGTAAAGAAAATCTAATTGTGTCTTTGTCCATGCACCTGTGATTCTTTTTTCTCTTCTCTAAAATTACCAGATCATTTTTATTTAATTATTGATGTAATTTATTACCATTCTTAATGGCTCATCTCCATCAAGCATACGTCGAATGTTATTGACCACTTCTCGAATGTCATAATTAGGAACTTTACATGACCAGCCAGTCCCAATGCCTTCAGCACCATTGATCAGCACCATAGGAATGATTGGAATATACCATTCAGGTTCAACTCGTTGGTTATCATCGTACAGAAATTTTAGCACGTTGTTATCCACTTCTGGGAAAGCCAATCGTGCCAAAGGACTAGGAAAAATAAGAAGCTTAAATTAAAATTGTGTTAAATAATTCTAGAAATAAGGATAGGGTTATGGGGTCTTCGTTACAAATGAAGAGAAATAAGGAAGAAAAGAAATAGCCAGAGGATGATGGCAAGGAAGTGAAGAAATGGCAATAACTTTCTGTAATCTCGACTTCCCTTTTTAAAGCCATAAGAGAAAAAGAAATGTAAAGGAGGGTTGTGGGGAAGGGGAGAACCCAATACCAGGAAAATTCTGCCTCTTGAAAGCCAACCCAAATGTAGTTTCTTCACTACCACAGACAATGCACATGTTGACCACAGAGAAGAAAAGTTAAGCTTTCCTTTTGGACTCTTTTTACTGACAGAGAAGGAAATCTTGCTATATCTCTTTGCGGCCCTATCAATGTATAGGTTCAGACACGTATTACCAATAAAGTACAATAATGTGATACAGAAATATAATTTGATGCCATTTTATTTTATTTAACATATTTATGTATTAAATTATTGTATTATATCCTATAACTATATTTTATTCTACAACTATTGTATATAACCCTTCTCACTTCTGCTTCTGGCTGCACGCAAGGAAAGCAGCAAAAAATTTTCTTCCTCTCCTCCCAAACTCTGCCAGAAATGAGTCTTTGGGACCCCGCAAGGCCTCCTACTCCAAAGACGCTGCTCCAAGATTCATTTCTGGCGGAGTTTGGGGGAGAGAGAGAAAGACTTCTGCTGCTTCCCTTGCATGAAGCCAACTCTCTCCTCTCTCTCGCTAAGAACGGAGCTGGGGACGGTATCCTGTGATCCCAAATAAAGAACGATCGATTGGTCGGAAAACGGAGTGGGGTTTTCCTG